TCCTGCTTCTCTTTCTTTGGCTTTAATGACATAGCTGTTGAAACCCAGGTCTTACAGGATAGATAGATTTCTGAGTGCATGATTGTTACCTTGCTTGAGATGATTGTAGCCATATTTGTGCAGTTGTTACAAAAACTATTGAAATTTGAATGTTAGGGCAAATATGAAAGGTATCATGGAGAGTACTCATTCATTTTCCCACCTTGCTGAAATCAAGAAAAAAACACTTCCAGCAAGATATGTTTTCATATGTGGAAATCTTATTTTGCTCTGGCATGAGTCAGTCAGTCCCAGAGATCACTGTGTTCCTTGCATTCTGTTCTTCCTGCAAACAGGTCTTGAAAATTATTCAGCTCTAAGAACTCTGAATGGGCAGGTATCAGCCTTATCCATTCTATTTTAAATGCCAGCCTTATCCATGCCCCTGGTTTCATACTCCTATGTAAAAACCTTTATTCAAGGAGTTCTCATATCAAGCCCTCCTTACAACACCCAGTGGTTCCCTGGGCCTTATTTTGGTTCTCTCTGCCTAGCAAAAACCACCCTTTGAACCCATCAGGGATACTCCCCTGGAGACTCTTACCAGAAATGTGGTCTTTTTGCAAGCTGTCACTTCTGTCAGATGTGTTTCTGAACTGGCGACCTTTCCCAAGACCCTCCTTTCTTCAAAAAGTGATTTCAGTATTCCATGTCAATGGCACTGCCTCCCTGTACCCTGCATTAAAGCATCCAAAGGAATTGTCTCTAATGGCTCTGACTACATCCAGGCAAAATTATAGAGTATACATCAAAGCTAGTGCTTCTATAAGACAGTTTCCCTGTTTTTTCTCTCCTTAGGATCTAGCAAGAGGCATCATGCTTCAAAATGTACCCTTGCACAATGGATAAGGAACTTGATTACAAGAGCTTATGCTCTTAAGCAAAATCCTCCTCCTGTGTTGTTACTTTCCCATTCCAGCAGATCAGTGGTGGTTTGCTGAGTATTTCAGCACCAAGCCTCTGTATCCCAACTGTGTAAGGCTGCCACCTGTTTTTCTGTTCATTCTTTGTTAAAGTTTTACCTAGTCCAGTCTTCTGTGGATGCAGCTTTTGGTCACAAAGTTCCATATTTTATGTCAGTTGCAGGAAAGTTATGTGCCATCATTGGTCACAGCATTAAGATGGTTCTGTCCCATCATGGTTGTCAGTTGGAGGAAAGTTGTTTTCCTTTGTTAATGTCAGTTGGAGCATTGCTGTATTCCATCATTGGTGTATCCCATCATTGGTATCAGTTGAAGGAAAGTTGTGTTCCATTGTTGGCATCATGTGGAGGAATGTTGTGTCCCATTGTTGGTATCATTTGGTATGAAGTTGAAAGAAAGTTGTGTGAAACTGTCAGTGTCCTGTGGAGGAACATAGTGTCCTCTTGTTGGTGTTAATATAAAGAAAGTTGTTGTTTTTTATTTGTTTTATTTTTTACTATCCCCCCCCCCCCCCCTTATATGGTAAAATGGGAAAGGGAATTGGGAATACACTCGACAAGCAGCAGAGAAAGACAATATTTAGATTGGCACATGGAGCTGTAGATATGAAAGTAGTGAAAATGAATTACAAATGTTTAGCTAGGTGGTATATATTTGGTGGGAGTGTCCTAAAATACAGAAATATCGGGGGAAATATTTCACCAAATACAGGAGATCACCGAGGTTAATATCCCGAAAGACCCAAGCACATGCTTATTTCATAAAACAGAGACCACAATAGAAGATTAGAAAAATTTGGTGATATTTCATCTTATAAATGCGGCAAAGGGACTTTTACCTAAATTTTGGCAGGAAGAAGAGGTACCGAAAATAAAGGATTGGATAAGTAGGGTGGATTATGTATATGCAATGGAGGAACTACACCATATGGAGGAGGATAAAATGGAGAGATTTTGAGAAAGGTGGGAAACTTGGGATTTGCATAGAAGACTAAATAAAGGAAGAGACAGAGAAGGAGGAGGAAATTGAGAAGGAAAAAGAGGGAGAGGTGAGAAAGAAAGAAGGAGAAGGGAGTCCCGAGAATATTTAGAAGTGAAGAGGAACAGGGAGCTAGGGGGAAAAGAACTTGAGGTAGATAGGGACATGGGTGGGTGGGGGAGGAGGGTTGGGAAAAGGGGGGGGGGGGGGGGGGGGGGTGGTATTCCAGAGGAGAATTGTTTAAAGGAAATTGTTTTTGTATATGATAATTTATTGATGTTAAGTTGAAATATTGAAAACTAATAAAAAAGAAAAAAAAGAAAAATATGAAGGAAGTTGTCTGTGGGAAAAATAATGCTCATACGTGTTCACAAGTTATTTAGTTAAGTTTGTTGATATTGACCAATACCGCTGAATAACCTAGGCATCAGTACAGCTTCAGTCACTGTCATCTGAATACTTCTCCTCTGGATAGACCACAAGGAAACCTAAAGGGCCAGTATGCTTTACTTGGATTGTATCACCACTGTAAACTTACAGGGAAATATTTTTTTTTTATTTTCCATCTATCATATTTTGTGTTAGAACATTCTGTAGTGAACTCATTTGCACTCATTCACACATGAAATAAATCAATATATAATGCATGTAATAAAAGTGTATATACTGTATATGAGTGAAGTGTCATAGGCTAAATGTGAAGCCTTGGTTCTAAAGCTGGTTGCCTGCAGTCAATTGGTCATCCCTGTGTATGGATTTGCAGCAGAGCAACAGATGAGGAGGGTCCTTTGGGGTTCCAGCCACTTTTTGTCAGTAAAATTATGAAGTATCCAAACCGTAATAGAAAAGAAAAGGCAAGGGCACCACTAAAACCATAAATCTAATTAGGGTACCATATCCTAAACAGCTACCTGTCATTACTTTTATTCAGTTTTCAGTATAGGACATCTTAATGGAGATACACTGTATTGCAATGTGTCTAACTCTTTCCCAGCATTTACACATGCACTCTCCGGCCACTTTATTAGGTACACCTGTTCAATTGCTTGGTAACACAAATTGCTAATCAGCCAATCACATGGCAGCAACTCAATGCATTTAGGCATATAGACGTGGCAAAGATGACTTGCTAAAGTTCAAGCCGAGAATCAGAATGGGGAAGAAAGGGGATTTTAGTGACTTTGAACGTGGCATGGTTGTTGGTGCCAGATGGGCTGGCCTGAGTATTTCAAAAACTGCTGATCTACTGGAATTTTCATACAAAACCATCTCTAGGGTTTACAGAGAATGGTCCGAAAAAGAGAAAATATCCAGTGAGTGGCAGTTGTGTGGACGAAAATGCCTTGTTGATGTCAGAGGTCAGAGGAGAATGGGCAGCCCGGTTGCTGCGACATTCAGATGGTAGGGTCAGAATGTGGCTTAAATACATGAAAGCATGGATCCATCCTGCCTTGTATCAACAGTTCGGACTGGTGATGGTGGTGTAATAGTGTGGTGATATTTTCTTGGCACTAGCAAGGTGTACCTAATAAAATGACCGGTGAGTGTAGTCTTTAACAGACAAACCTAGTAGTTCAGTTCTCAATGAGACAACTGAATACCCCCCGTCCAGTTTTCAGAAATAAGGTTAACATCACATGTGACTTTTATACGATTTCTGTTTAGCATGTACTGAAATGCATCTCCTACTTTTTCATCTCTAAAATGGGATGTTGTTCTTCACTGTGCTTCATGGTCTTGAGCACTGTTCTGTGTATTATAAGTACAATAATTAAAAAATTTTAATAATTTAAATGTCCCTGAAATGGTAAGGTGAATGCATAAAAAAAAATGAAAATAGCTTTGACAGACTAGAGTTTCTAATGAGGTATGTCACTAAAACTACTGAATGTTAGAGTGCACAAAAAAAAAAAAACCATTCTAAGAAAAGGCATATGTTGGCAGGTGCAGTTAGCCTTCTCATCTGTAGATGACCTTGTGCCATTGTTGCATGGGAAGGGGGATTTCATAAAGGAATTGGTCCCTTAGAGCAGGGGTGGGCAACTGTGGCCCTCCAGCTGTTGTAGAACTACAAGTCCCATGAGGCATTGCAAAACTGACAGTTACAAGCATGACTCCCAAAGGCAGAGGCATGATGGGACTTGTAGTTCACCAACAGCTGGAGGGCCACAGTTGCCCACCTCTGCCTTAGAGATTCCATACAATACCTTGAGACAGGAAAGTAATCTGATTGGGCGCTAAACTTCTAAGAAACTTTGCCTGCCCTTTCTGGTGAACGAACCTTTTAAATATGGAACCCCACATAATTTTGGTGTGCTTCTCGTGGGTGTGTGGTAGGGAGAGGAACCTGCCTGTGGAGGACAGTGATTATCACAGGGCCAAGTTCCATATGATGACAGATAGCTTAGGGGATGCTTCTTCACTTCAAATTCTCCAGTAAAGGAAGCAAAGACGTGGAGCCAGTGCAGACTACAAAAACAACCTCTGAGTATTTAAAGCGATTCTAAAGGTTAATTTCTTTTTTTTTTTGTAAAATAACAAACATGTCTATACTTACCATATTTTTCGCTCCATAAGGCACACTTTCCCCCCGCCCCCCCCCAAAAAATGGGTAAAAATGTCTGTGTATCTTATGGAGCAAATATGGAGCGGCCAGCCCGGTATTCCCCCCATCTCCGCCACCATGTTAGAATATTGGGCCAGCCGCTCATCTATTCTTTGCAGCAGAATCTGCTCCTCATTCCTACATGTTCCTCGGTCCAGCAGTGTCCTCATCACCGCTGGTTTCACCGACCGTCTTCTCTCTCTGGCGCCGGCATCTTTAGTGTGGGCACCCAGCTGTGACAGCTTGTGGCTTCACAGCCGGGAGCCCACTGCGCATGTGCGAGAAGCTCTGCGCTTTGTAAATATCCCCGTAGTCTTCTGGGACCTGTGACGTGTCCCAGAAGACTACGGGGAGGGAGGGAGGACAACTTCCGCTTCCGATCGCCTAGGCGATCACAGCGGAAGTAGGAGCAGGTACCTGTCAAATTCGGTTACCGCTCCCCAATGGTCTACAGCCTTTGGTCATCTCCTGTACTATGTCCACAGTCTCTGGTCATCTCCTGTACTATGTCCGCAGTCTCTGGTCATCTGTTGTAGTACATCTGCGGTCTCTGTTCATATCCTGTACTATGTCTGCAATCTCTGGTCATCCCTGTACTATGTCCGCAGTCTCTGGTCATCTCCTGTACTATGTCCGCAGTCTCTGGTCATCTCCTGTACTATGTCCGCACTCTCTGGTCATCTCCTGTACTATGTCTGCAGTCCATTGGTTCAGAATTTTTTTTTCTTGTTTTCCTCCTCTAAAACCTTAGGTGAGTCTTATGGTCAGGTGCTTCTTATGGAGCAAAAAATAAGGTACTTGCTGTGTGCAGTTTATTTGCACAGAGCAGCCAGGATCCTCCTCTTCTCCGGCCCGCAGGCTTTCCTGACTCCTCCTGTCTGTTGGATGCCTCCACAGCAAGCAGCTTGCTATGGAGGCACCCGCTGCTCCATGTGTCCATTCACACATGGAGCTGTTGTTTGGCCCTCCCCCTCTCTCTCCTCATTGGCTGTCTGGCTGTAATTGACAGTGGCTGGAGCCAACGGCTCCCGCTTGCTGTCTCAGCCAATGAGGAGACAGAGACCCGGGACAGCCGAGGCTGTCATTCACATCGCTGGATCGCAGTGAGGCTCAGGTAAGTATTGAGGGGGCTGGGGAGGCTGCTGCACACAGGTTTTTTACCTTCATGCATAGAATGCATGAAGGTTAAAAACCTTCAGTCTTTACAACCACTTTAAAGAAGGGGCACAGCCCTTGATAAGGGAAGACATTCTCCCGTACCATGTACTTTAAACATTGAGATTGTATTTTACCTAGATTGCTTGTATAGGTACAGTTTAGCTGTTGCTGCAACCAAACTGTGCAAGATTTATATAAAATATATCAGTATGCAATGAACTGTGTATGAGTATTTCCTCTCAATACAAGGTACTTATTCAGACCAACCAACACATATACAGATTGAGAATCCTGGGAATGAGGATAGCCATTAGCATGCACGTAAACTATCTAGTTTTGGATGACATTTCTGTTTTCTACAGTTCTGCTCATTATCAAGTTTTGTATTTTGACTAATGCAAAATTTCCCAGCTGAAATTAATACATTTTTAGAAGGCCAATGCATCAACAAACTACAACTGATTCATTCAACCCTACACATTCTAATTGAAAACCATAAGTTGTACAATGCATGGTTGATATTAGCAAAGTAGACTTGTTTTATAACCTAGTTAATGACAGCAAAAGATAATTTTATGGAAATACCTGAGTGGGATAATCTTCTTATTCTAAAAACACTGTCTTCCTTAATTACCTTCCTCATAATGTCATTTTTCTAAAAGAAAAGCATTGGATTTAGAAAGGAATAAAATGTGAAATGTCTCATACTTCTGGATTAAAAGTTTGGTAGGTTTATAGGGGAAAAATAGTAATACAGACAGTTTTGTCTTTTTTTCTTTCTGTTTAATTATATTATTACATAACAAAATTAATTATGTAATGCCAGTCAGGCATGCTTTTGTTTAGTAGCCTGTTCGATAGTGTGAAAAAACTGTTGCTTTCTGAAACACAGCCATGTCTATTGAGATAACCACAGCAAATATTCTAAAATCCACTGAAGAAGCACTCTGAAGAGAAACAACTGCACGCAAAATGTTAATAATTTATGTAAAGTGTCTAGAACATGTAATTATTCCCTTTTAAACATGTCTATTTCTTAAAGCTGATCTCCAGGCACACAAACTTCCATTTAAATACGAGTTTTCCTCAAAAGCCACAAATGATATAAATCAACTTTCTGTGAACCAAATTTCTTTGCAAACCCAGTTATTATCCTGTACAGTTGGCAGTGACAACATCGCTGTGCTGTACATAACTTGAGCAGAGACTGTGGAACCTCTCAGGCTTCACTCACTACAGGCTGCCTGCTGCAAACTAAAGGGGATGCACACAATACTTCTCACCCTACACAAGCACAAGAGTGCAGCACTGAGCGTTTTTTTTTTTTTATTACTGGAAGCTCATGAACAGAGGCAAAGTTTCACACTGGATTACCACACAGATCTGAAAGAAATACAGAAAACAGACCAAGGTTCAGGCAAGAAGTTTCATGCTTCTTGTATTTAGACAATATGTGGTTTTCCTGAAATTTTAGCTTTAACTGTGTTCAAATCATGTTCAATTTCTCTAATTTTTAATTAAATCTGAAGTTTTACATTTTGCACTTTTCATATAGTTACAATGGTCCAGCGTGGATCAATGTACAGTAAGAAGAATGTATGTGTGTGTATGTCCACAGGAGGTGGCTCACATGGTATGGGCACCATTCAGATAACTTTTCAAATGAATGCAAATTATTCTCTGGTTGGCTGGCCATAGTTGGGCCAGTTTTTATTGTTCAACCAATAGGTTGAACAGAAAAAAAACTGACCTGGTTCCTCCATCTATACATGTGATGTAGATGGGGCAAGCCTCCTCACTTAGTCATTGTATTCTGACAGCGGGGGAAGACCTCCCCGCTGTTAAAATACACAGATCAGAGCTGCAGCCTATAGCTTGCAGCACTGATCAAGAAGAAATATTCCAGCAGGGTGGTCCTACAGAAGTCAATCAATGTATGGTAGTGTCCAGACATGGATAGAAATTAGGTCAGTCCTTGCTGAACAGGCCAAATTTTGATCTATCTATGGGCACCTTTAGGAGCATGCAATTGTTCTGTGTTATCAGCCTTCTCAGGCTAAAGCTGGCCATACATGGCTCATTTTTTTTCTTTCAATTTGCAGGCTGAATGAAAAAACTGATGTGGGTGCATGCAGGAATCCTCCCTGCTGTGCCATTGAATGAGAATACACTGATCAGCACTGCAGCCAATGAAAAAAACTCACACCAAGCTATAATGGCATACAGTCTGCAATACACCAGCTTTAAACCAGGAAACCTCATTATTATTTATTACAGATATTCATATGTCACCATCAGTTTACGCAACCCTTTATGTACTATACATTCACATTAGTCCTTGTCTTCAAGGAGCTTAAGCACTTGTCTACTATGATACAGTTGTAAAAGTCTTGGTAGATAAGAATTTAAATCAAGCTCACAGCTGCTACTGCAAGGGCTTCCTTCTTCCTCTGTTGATCGTTATTAAGGAAGTAGCAGGTACCAACACCCTCTCTTTCTTTAGTAACCAGTAACATTACCTGGCCCCATTTATTTGCTGGCCTGGTATTCCTGGTCATGTAAAAAAAAAAAAAACAGCCGAGAGAGTTTAAAAGAAAAATGATGAAATGATGTGGGATTCCCCACATGATTTATACCAGACCCTTTAGGTCTGTTATGGATTGCAAGCCCTCTCACGCACAGACCCCCACAACCACTGGGCCAGGGCTATGAGGATGAGGCCTTTGTTTCCATCACCATGGGAACCAGGTACTTTTCATAGAGGTATCCCTTGACAAGATATTTCCCCATGTTTAGGGCATGTTGCCTGGTATGGTTCAGGAGAAGAACACACACTTCCCCCCTTTCCTTGCATGCCACACTACATGCTCAGATAAGGGTCTGGTATGGATTTTTGTAATGGTCCAGACATTTTTTCTTGATTTTTTCACTACCCCCCCCCCCCCTTATAATCTATATCAGACCCAAAGGATATAGAATTTTGGGGTGGACCCTACGCCATTTTTTAAATTAACATCTATATTAGACCCTCATATATGATACGAGTCTGGTATAGATGAGGGGGATCCCTGGCCATAGCTTTGATCAGATGTAAAGTGGTCAAAGCTGTGATTTTTTTTTCAGCAATTTAAACTGAATTGGTTGTTCTTTGTAAATGTGAGTTTTACTGCAGCAATTTGTATACACTTCTAATGCAAGGTTGGACACAAAAACCAGGAGCAAGTCACACACACACACTACACAGGTACGATCAAAACCAGCACTCACACCATAGTTTCTAAGCTTGTGAGGGACACACTAGCAAGTGTAAAACTGCCTTGGCAGATCATGCAGCATTCACTCAGCACCCCAAGAAATAATAGAATCCAACTGCAGTGTTCTTGCACTGTCAAAACTTCCACTTTTATTATCACACAACACACAGGAGGATATATCTTATGGTCATCACAATCTGCATAATAACACACCAATAGTAATGTGAGTTTTACAGCATGGAACACACACATCTTTTGACAGCGTCAAAACATAGAATTAATACATTACCAAAGCTACGGGAAGAAGGGAAAGAAGAAACCTCATTGAACCACGGTGCTCAGGAGATCGTGGAGAAGCCCGGAGCATGACTGACCGATGAGTCCATGCAGCTTTGGCAAAAGTCTCAGCGTCAGAGCGTCCCCCATCCATGCATGGGATGGCTTCTGATTGCATCATCTCCAGGCCTCTCCTAAATGCTCCCGCTCAGTGCTTCTGGCCACAATCCCAGCTTGGGCGGAGCCTCACCCACTCCGAGATGCTGTTTCAGATAACACTGAATGGTTCTGTGAGGTAGCAGAGTCACACCCAGTCACTTATCACTATCATGCCATCTAGCAGGCCTAATAAACACATGATCATACTCTTATTTATATATTGCCATCTAGGTTTTTCTCTAAGTTCAATATGTTTACTTTTCACAAACAAGTCTAACTGGCGTAAAAAAGTCTTACCTAATACAAGCGGCTATATCTTGTGAATCTGCAAGTTTCCCTTAGCCTAGGAAAGGACGTTATGTCATTCCCCGTGCTTCTGGGGCAGCGATACTTTACTGTAAAATTCACAGAGGAAACCAAGGCCCCAATGCCAGCACATTTCAAAGGCATTACAATAGTATATTGTACAGATACTCTACTTAACAGGCAGGGTCAGGGTATTCCCCAGGCATGTTTTTTTAAAGGAATTTAGCATTTTTAAATATTATCTTTATAACATTTTTAAATTGCTGCTCCCTATCAAATTGAATAATTTTTAATTTTTTTTTTTTTTTTTTTTTGCTTTGGCACATGTTCCCCAGGGTGGCTTTCAGTCCGCCATGACACTTGTTAGACAACCTCTTGCTTATTATCCAAGAAAATAATCATTACTGGTTTTTAATATATGGTTCCCCTTTGCTGAACGTTTGCTGAACCTACATCAAACCAAACCCAGGAAAGTTCAGCTCATCCCTCACAAAGTCCCAATTCTTATCAGCTCTATCAAAACAGAATAAACCATTTGGCTTAAGCTGGTCTTTATAGACATGATCACTTTTGACATTTTTTTAATCTCACATCCATGGAAACATTTACCCTAAAATGACATCATAAACCAAACTGTCAGTTGAACGTTTCAATGAAAAAAAGTAAAGCTTTACAGTAGTGAATGTACAGGCAATACAATCATGTTCATGTTCGACTGCCCTTCTGTTTAAATAATTACTTGATCCTGCCAGCTTCATATTGGCTGACCATGTTGCAGAAATTTCTGCTGAAATTGCAGCATCATTGCTACCCTTTCCCTGAAGCATAAGTGCACTGGCTATATACACTCTATCAGCCTATAGGGAGCACCAGTGCTGGGCTTTGTAACGTGTAGGAGACGGAAGTGATGTGTCTTAGATACATACCCCCTGCTACTGCTGCACTGCTAAAGAAAGGAGCCAGAGTGGTTATGTGACTACTAGAAAAAAGAAAAAAAAGGTATTTTTAAATGTTTCTTGGCTGTCAGCATAGTACTCAGTGTAGCACTACCCCTGTAGGAGCCGCTTGTATCTTGTTCAGGCTTTCCCCTAGATCCTCCCCCTCAGACAAGCACACAACATTTTCTATAGCCAGGTGGACAGAACTTCGGCTCATTACTCCATTGATCAGTCTAGGGGGTTGTATTTTTTTGTTTTTTGTTGTTTGTATTTCGTTTTAGAACTGGGATAGGGAAGGGATATAGTGCGATACTCAGAATTAAAGAAAGCTGTCCTCAAGTGTGCATAGTTCAAGTAGATCTGTGTAGCAAACTGTACAAAGACTTGAGCAAAGTCCCTATGTAGAAATACAGAACATAATGGACAGTTGATCTTCTGGACACCAGTCGGTGTCCCCTCTAGCTTACACCAAGCAGCTGACAATATAGGTCGGGGGTTAAACAGCACAAGTCCTGGCATCCAGGTAAAACAATCTGTACTCACGAGGCCCTTGCTTCAAGTTACCTTCCCCCATGATACCAGACAGGATCTGTAGATATCCCCCTAGCCAGCACCCTGGGTTTCAGCATCCTAGCCCTTGGGTCACCCACCCAAAAACCTCCTAACAGCATAAGCCAGGGAGACAGCCACCTTCCCCTGGCTGCAACTCCCTTCTCAGAGGAAAAGAAAGAAGGCCCTTAACATGGGACCAGGGCTGTCTTTAATATTGATTGGACCCTAAGCAAAATATTTCTCCCCCCCCCCCCCCCCCATGCAATTTCACTCTCCACCCCAACATCCCTAAAAACAAACACACATAGACATATGTAAAAAAAACCTTGCATAATGTAAACATGAAGGACCGGTCCACACTCACTGACTGTTTGCTAGGGGTTACTGCACATCCTTACTGCTCACTGATTGGTTGCTAGAGGATACAGCACATCATTATTGCTCACTGATTGGTTGGTAGAGGTTACAGCAGATCACTAATGTTCACTGGTTGGTTGCTAGAGGAAGGATTTTTGCCTACACAGGTGAAGGTGCATTTTGCTGCCCCCCACCCCTACTGTCCACCCGGAAGTGGTTGGATTAAAATGAATATTGGGTGTAGTTTAATATAAAGTAGATGCTGATTAGAAACAATGAGGAAACCTGTGTATAGTTGGTGAATTTAATTTGGGCTAAATCTCAAAGTCCCCCCCCCCCCCCCCAAACACACTGCTCACCCTCTGCACACTGTCCTCTTTTCCTCTGCACACATTGTCCCCTGTCCACATTGCTCTCCTCTGCACAAATCCTCCCACCCTGGGTGCCCTGAACACACTGCCCACTACCTCCCACAGGTACACATTGCCCCCTGTAAACATTGGAGTGGTTAAAGGATGCATTCACATTTTTAAAAAATAATAAATGCACATTTTTTGCAGGTGTGATGCCATGCAGGTCTTCTGCAGACTGCCAGTGTAAACAGTCTGTCCATACATCGTACCTTGTACGGGCAGGCAGTTTCACACTGACAGGAAGAATCAATGAACTACCACATCACTCAACAGCACCGTGGTAGTTCATTGAGAACTACAAGCCAACAGCTGCTAAGGCTGTCAGTAGCTGTAGTCCATTCATTCACAGAACACTGTGAATGAATGACATGGCTGCGTGGGCAGGCAAAGTCCCACACAGCTGTGTTTTCTTTATATTATGGCATTGGGGGGTGGGGTCCGGTACATTGGTAACATGTTACAAAAGGTGAACTTATCCTTTAAGGGTGACCTGTCTCCCCTCTCGCAGCCCTGCAGAGCATTACACCTGTCTCCAGCCTTGCAGAGCATCACACCTGTCCTCTCTCTCCCAGCTCTGCAGACCATCACACCTATTTTCAGCCCTGCAGAGCATCACACCTGTCTCCACTCAATCTGCAGAACATCACACCTGTCTTCCCACTCCCTGACCTGTAGAACATCACACCTGTCTTCCCTCTCCCTGATCTGCAGAACATCACACCTGTCTTCCCTCTCCCTGCCCTGCAAAACATCACACATGTCCCTGCTCTTTCTGCAGAACATCACACCTGTCTTCCCTCTCCCAGACCTGCAGAGCATCACACCTGTCTCCGCGATTTCTGCAGACATCACACCTGTCTTCCCTCTCTCCCAGCCCTGCAGAGCATCACACCTGTCTCCGCGCTTTCTGCAGAACATCACACATGTCCCTGCTCTTTCTGCAGAACATCACATCTGTCTTCCCTCTCTCAGCCCTGCAGAGCATCACACCTGTCTCCGCGCTTTCTTTAGAACATCACACCTGTCTTCCCTCTCCCTGCAGAACATCACACCTGTCTTCCCTCTCCCTACTCTGCAGAACATCACACATGTTCATGTGCTCTCTGCCCAGAACATCACATCTGTCTGCCCTCTCCCTGCCCTGCAGAACATCATGCCTGTCTGCCCTCTCCCTGCCCTGCAGAACATTATATCTGTCTCCCCTTTCCCTGCCTTGCAGAACATCATGTCTCCCCTGTCCCTGCCCTGCAGAACATCACACCTGTCTGCCCTCTCCCTGCCTTGAAGAACATTACACGTGTCTCCCCTCTTCCTGCCCTGCAGAACATCACACGTCTATCCTCTCTCTGCAGAACATCACTCGTCTCCCCTCTCCCTGCCCTGCAGAACATCACATAAGAGGAGAGATGTTCTGCAGGGCTGTGGGAGGGGACACAAAGCACTGTCACTAAACTAAGGACATTTCCATAGTTCTTACCTTCCGGCTGGACCCCCTATACCTTGGAGCTCTCCAGACCCGCCTCGACATGGCTGGAAAAGCTCTCAGTCGGAACTCTCTTCTTCAGCAGCCCATCTAGCCTCTCCACCAGGAGAGAAACTGCAGCAAATCAGAAGGGAGGGAGAAAACTGGGTCTGGAGCAGGGATATACAGTGGGGCAAAA